ACTAGTACAACACCCGTGTATTACACGGGTGTTATTTAAAAAATTATTCTTAAATTTTAAATAGTGAGAAAACTATATTAAATTTAGTTTACTTTTTTACAAAAAAAAATATATATTACTATATATTTTAGAATGATATGTGTTACTTATGACTTACATGTATTATATTATATTAGTTTTTATAACTTATATCATATAACTACTTGAAATATAAATATATTAGTTGACAAATAATTTTATTTTTCTAGTTAATATTAAAAATAATTTTATTATTGTTATAAAGATAAGTATAAATTAATATTTTTTATATATACAATATGGATGTTAAATCGAAGCTCATCAAAAGAAGATTAATTTGATATATTACATATGTAAAACTGATAAAAAATACAAAAGTTGTTAACTTTTAAAATATATATACAATTCAATAGTTACAATAAGGAATTATATTAAAATGCAATTAATACATGTAACATGACCATAAATAATCAACATATTAAAATGGAATTATATATACATGTATATTTGTGTACTATTAAATATCATATGTTAATTTATATTGTATTTCTAACGTATATCGTTCGTGTATGAATGTATGTATATTTATTATTTAAAAAAAAAGATTAAACATGTCCAATGATTTGGTTAAATATGTCTAACAATACATCTTAAATAAAACTGCATACGACTTTATAGTGAGTGTATTAGCTTTACTTTCTGTTAGATCTCCCTTGCATTATTGTAGAAAAATAAAAAAAAAAATAAAATAAAATTGGTCATTGCTTTGACTTATCATCTTCACAAAAGCAAGTAGAAATCAAATTTAGACATTGTTCAATTCACAAAGAAATCTTATGCTATAACTTATTGGCCATTGGTTGACTTAATTACCACGCAAATATGAGAGTACTTTCATTTGTGAAAAGATGTAATGAAAAAGGATGAATTTAATTTCATTAAAACTTTTGGGAAATGCTAAGGTCCCGTTACAGAACCATTTCGTCGGGGTTTGTAACCGTCAGAGATAGTTAATCTAACAGTTACAAAACTCGACAAAATAGTTCTATAACGGGACCGTTTTATGCCCTCAAACATCCTTTTAGTCTCCATGCAATAATTATTAACACGAACAATTTTTTATTTTTATTTTTTATTGTTATGATTGCTTAAAATTTAGTCACTCACGCGTTGGTATTTTTAATTTTTATTTCTAAAGCATACTCATATTTTTATATCCTAGAGTATGTAAACAAGAAAGAGTAAATCCATCCAATATTAATACAAATACATGCACCACACAAAGTCGAAGCATTTCGATTTCTTGTGTGGCTCCACACGGTTTTATTGGTCACATGCCAAAATGTATCCCCTTAACTAATCTCCAAACCCTAGAATTAAAGTGGAAACACACACACGCATGCATATATATATTACTAGCAAAACAATTAATAAAAATACTAGTACAGAGTCCGTGCGATGCACGCATCGGGGTGCACAATTTTAAGGTCATTTATCCAGCCTTATGATTATATAAATGAATAAAAAAAATGTACGGGATATATAGTACATGACCTGTGCGAGACACGAGATATATTTATTTGGGGATTATTATATTATAAGATGCAATATTCAATAAAAGTTTTACAATACGCAGGAAAATTGTACAATAAAATAGTATTCGACAAAGAAACAATCATATATTATTAAAAGACCTCCTTGTACACAACATTATGAGTTTGAACAACTCCTCATTCTCACAAACTAATATCTTCAACCCATTTCTGTTAGTTACACGCAAAACAGCAACATATATGGCCATGACTAAAGACAAGTTTCTTTAGAAAAAGACCAACGTGGGATAAAGACTGTCCCTAACTCTTGTTTATGGTCATGACATACGAAACATGTACAAATTATCTAAATACATACACGAAAATATAAAAAAATAAAAAAAAATTAAACATATACGTTTCAAAGTTCGAAATTAAAAAAAAAAATCAAATAATTTGGCTTATTGTTTTATCATGCAGAACCAACTCGAGATATGATTTATATGCGCTGCCCCAGTCTTGAAAAATATTCTCACAATTCGAACTTTGAGCATAGGTCTATTAAACATATTGACTTGATTGAATAAGCCAAATCTTTTATTCATTGTTTTGAATGAAAGACTGATTGGAGATATTTTTTATTCGCATGATGTTGACAGTGAGTAAGATAATAGCTCGATATTTTGAGATTTGTAATTTATAATGGGTAGAGTAGATATATATTGGTGTTAATATTTTTATGAAAAATTTTGAATATACAGAAATCGGTTTGAACAAAATCAGTACAGATTTCCATACAATTAGATAATAAATAAAGATTTTTTTATTTTAGTAAAGATTTTACGTACTTTTTGTTTACTTATCGGATGTTATGAGATTTTTTTCTTAAACTGATATTATGGGATATAAAACAAGTACAATTAGATGATTGAACAAAATCAGAACAGATTTCCGTACAATTAGATAATAAGAATAAATTAGATAAGGAATTTTGAATGTGACTTTTTTAATATAGAAAAAGACTTTACGTATAATTTTTTTGGGATTTGTTTTTGACTGAATCGATGTTTTGAAGTAAAGATTTTAGGTACTTTTTTTTTAATAAACAAATAAAATAATTATATAATTTTTTTAGTAAAGATGTTACGGGATTTTTTTTTTCTTAAACCGATTTTATGGGATATAAGACAAATAAATAAAATAATTATATAAAATTCTTGATATAAATAGCAATGCATTAATTACGTTGACTTTTCAACCTACTAAATTGGTAAATAGAATACCCTATTATATAGTATAGATTTTAGTTTCCTTCTAATTTCGGATACCCTATTTTTATCTTTCACATTAATAATAATTAATGATAATATGAACTAATAATAATTCACACCAAATAAAAAGTACACAAGTATAAACAATTCTGTTGCAATTTTTTCTTCATTATATATATATATATATATATATATATATATATATAATTCTATTTTGTATCTCATGAAACAATTTTTCTGTACCAAAAAATTAGTTAGATAGTTTTAGTAGCATAGGTAAACCACTTTAAATTCTTATAAATATATGTTGCTATAATAATAATAATAATAATAATAATAATAATAATAATAATAATAATAATAATAATAATAATAATAATAACAACAACAACAATAATAATAACAATAATTTCAGTTAAATTATTTGACCATGATCCCTCTATATTATAAATATTGCACTATCCACAATTTTTTTCAATCAATATAGTGATTCATATATACTAAAATAATTTATATTTATGTTATTTTATTTTTGCTAATGATCATATCTTGAAAATAGACTGTGTTCATTATCTAGAATTTTATTATTAAATTCGCGTATATTACTTTTAATAATTTATATATACATATCTGTGCATGTGCACATGATGATGATTACTGTATATATTATGTTATAATTAGACCAAAAAATAGAATTAATTAAAAAGAAATTTTGTTAGCTGTATTTTCAATATCTTTGTAAGAAATGAAAAGAAAAACAATTTTTTTTTCTATAATTTTTATTTTGCTTTTAGAAAATAAATAGACTAACTAATGTAACTATTTCTTCCTCTTTATATAAATCTCCATTAATAATTAATGAAACTATTTATTTATATTAAAAGCATCAAATGGGTAGTTGCACTAGTTTTCATTTCAAAATAAGAATATTTACTTAATTATACAATGATTTGATTTTCTTCGCATAAATTTTGGTATTAACTCACTTTGAAAAGTAAGAAAATCATCTTAATTAATAGGTCAATAACTACAAATCAATTTACTAAAACTAGTATTCCCTCCTATTTTTTTTAAATGTCATTATAACTTTATCAACTATTTATCAAATAAATGACGTTTTGGATCTTTTGTACATATTTTTCTATTATTGCCCTCATTTAGCCAATAAATACATTATGTCTTTTCTTATTCGCTCTTCACTTTTTCTCAAAACATTCATCTCTATCTTCATTAAATAAGGTTATTATTGACCAAAAAAATATTTTTAATTAACGTGCAACTTCTCAAAACGACATATATTAAAAATATGAGGTAGTATTATTTTAGGTCCAGAAAAAAAAAAAGTGTGCTACGAATATTATTTTTTAAGAGAAATACTACTGTTCTGTTACGGAATAATTCCGTCGAGACTTGTAATCATTAGTGCATCATGTAATCGTCGGAGATATTTGATCTAACGATTACAAACTTCGACGCAATAGTTCCGTAACAAAACCGTAGCATGTCCCATTTTTTAAAAATCATAATATTATTTATTCTCCTATGGATGAGAATTAATAGTAACAACTTTTATTAATCGAATCCATACACTACACGTTATTCAACATTATAAATTCATATGTGTTTTAACTTTTTTTATTTTAGTTTTTAGCGTAATTATTAGGGAAATGTATAGATAAATCCCCAATCCTAAATTCATCTTCTCATTCAGTCCCTAGTGAAAAATTTTTCCATTCAACTCCCTAGTCAACAACTTTATGGTCCCCTCTAAGGTTTAAATTATATTTCTGCCCCGATACCTGTTTTTAAAAGAAAAGTACCAGTTTTCATTCAGTATAG